GTGAGGTCTCGCGAGGCAGAGAATCTCAATTGGGTTTTAAAAAGGACAAATGAATTAGCCTGAGGCTTTGCAGTTGCTTTTTCCAGGCTAATCCCAAATCTTCCTTCACAGTGTGTGGGATTACCAGACTCTCCTGGGAACTACATTAAAGTGACAAAGATGATTCTGGAAGACGCAGTCCTCCGGTTCTGTCATTATTTACTCACCGTCATCATGTTGTTCCAAACCAATACAATGGAAGTCAGTGGGACAACATTGGATTCCACTGACTTTTAATTGTATGACACATTTTTTTTTTTGTATTTCGGTTTGAACGACATGAGGGTGAGTAAATGATGATGGAATGTTCAATTTTGGGTGAAGTATCCATTTAAACTTAACATTACATTTGCACTGAAAATCTTGTTCATTGTTTTGTTTATCATGGAAAGCCAATAACTTTTAAGGAATGTTAGCCACAGAAACGGGTATTACATTATGATTTTACAATCTCATTTCTCTAACACCTCCATGGTTCTGCAGTAACAGTGTTCAGCCAGTAGAGGGGATTGGCACTCTAGATGGTTGAAAACTGGCAGCCATTCCCCCTTCCGTATACACAATACCTTGTCTATTTGAATATACCTGTCCCTATTCATTAAAGCAAAGGACTATCCACTCTAGACAGCCCCTGTTGAGTCTTTTCTGTCAAGTCTTGACTTCATTCATTTGTTATTTTGGTCAAATAAACTGAATATGTGCTGTAGTAACAGAACTGGTACAAGTGATGTAAGCATAAACAGTGCCTCAAGCTTAAACAAATTGGTTTTCCACTTCCTTAAATGACTAATGCCTTTAAAGGAGTGCTGATGTGGGAGTCAAAGACTTGTGGAAGGAAGGAATCCTCTGTTGTAAACTCAATATCATCACTAAGATGCCATGTACTCAAGGAGGTCCCCTCAAGACTAAATGCTACACCTTGTCCTCCAAAAAAACACTGCCTAATTGTTGTCATATGACTGCAAAATTTGATCTCTTTCCTTTGACCTGTACAGTTGCTCTACTGCAGATAAAATACAGAGGTAAGCGGACTCGGTTACTTTAATCATTGATTGGTCGCTTGATAGGTCATGTGTATGCTGCAAAAACCCTCTCGCTGGTTGGTTTATTCTGTGCAACACTTCCTTCATTCCCTCTTGTTCTTGTGCACACACTCTAGGATGCTGTGTTAAGATTGGGGGCTTGTGAAAGGGGCAGCCCTTGGCGTATTAACAGCTGATTGGTGGTCTAGACCCAACAAAAACTCTGTTGAGAATGAAGAGGTGGTCATATCACGCTTTCAAACACTAATTTGCCATCCAGAACTCGCTCTTTTCTTTACGACACATGCACAGGCTCACATGCTAAACCATTAGACAAATGTGATGCAACGATGAGGTAATGTGAAGTCTATGCATGTGCAGATCCAGGATTTTTTTTGGATCCTGTTTTCATCATATCCTGTTTTTTGTTTGTTTGTTTGTTTTTTTATATGTTTGTATTTCAGTGAAGTATGCATTTGGATACAGATCACCATTTTTCACTTTGCGAAACACTGTTATAATTGGTTAAACAGCCCTTTATAAAAATTAGCTCCAAATTTGAGCTTGTTTGTTGTCTGTGTTCTTCTGCCATCACGGCACACCATATATCAGGCTCACCGGCCTCCATTTAATCCGATGGATAAAAGATTAATCCATCCACCATTTCTTTAGAAAACTCTAATCCGCAGTATGTATATAATACAATTATACATTTTTATTGGTCCTTTTATCCAAAGCCACTCAGTAATGTCGGACCCCAATTTTCTACAGTTGGGTTTATGTTTTATTGGAGTCGACCAGATGTACCTTTTGATCAATGGATGCCGCCTTGAGTTGGACCGCTGAATCTCCCAATTTGGCCCTCCTCCTGAAGCCCACCCTCTTGCGTAAGATCAGTCAACCCCCCTCCATTCCAATGCAGGAAGACCACAAACAACTCCAGCTTGAGGGATTATGATTTCGTTTTTATTCCAAAGTCACTGAAAGTGCAAAAAGCAACTTCACATTAGACTTGACAGCATTAATGCCTGCTGCAATGGGCAGGTTATGCACAAAAAGGGCTCCATGTGGTGCCCCTCCCATTTCAGTCGCCCCCTTTTTTCATCCCGAGAGTGTTGGCGGGGCGCACTGAATGCAAAGCTGTCCGGTCGCCCCAGCGGATCTGGCCGCATGTGGATCGAATCAGAATTATCCACTAATTAACTATTTACTGGGCTCCAGAAAGGCCATAATGGACTTGATATTAAATCTTCTCAAAGTATTTAAAGTGTGCTTCTGAGTGCTCCTTCGAAGAGCCGATTCCAACGTTTTACAAGGAGGAGTGACTTAAGCTGCTGGGTCAGAGAGTTGCCTTGGCAAGGCGGCTCTCAGACGGGATTTAGGGACGACAGTGGGAAGCTGCAAGTGGAGGGCAAAGGAGATCTCCTCCAATGAGTTCCAGATGCCCCTCAGTTCCAACTTAGATAGATACTACAAGCTGGAGTATTCTCTGTGAGGCTTAAACCTGGCTCTATTTTAATGGAGATGGACGGCTTTATATGTGGAAAGTTAAATCGCACGAATCTTATAGGTCCAGTTTGTCTTTTTATGTGCTACCAAAGATTGATTTCAAAAAAAAAAAGGCCAGCTAAGTTTTGATCAGATGACAATGAGGGCTCTTTTTAAGTGATCCTAGATTTATCAGATGGGATTTGGTTAGGGAGAGTTTTTCAGTTTTTAAAAGCATATTAAAATACCAAATGACACTTCCTGTACTTGAACCCAGTCAAAAACAGAACCGCACACCATTGAAGTTATGTATAATAATTTACTATAATATAATTAATTTATTTAATATAACTTGCTCATGTATCCCATTGTATACTATTGCCACTTTATGGGATTCATTCTTGGACTGTGTATCACTCATGTAAATCAAAATGTTTTTGTAGCATTTCAAAGACCCAGAATCATGTTCTCATTTCCTCCCTTGCCTTAGATCTGCTTGGTTTCATCAGCAGTTGAGTTCTTCTCTACAATCAATACCCTGGGACCCATTCAGAGGAATCAGCTGCATTCCCCAATTGTCTTTCAATATCCCTTGTATTTTTAGCACAAGAAAGTAATATTTTGTATGACTGTTTTCCCTTATGTTCTAAAAAACTGCTTTATACAAATCAACTCGATTTTACTTGTTTGTAGTTAAATAAAGTAAGAATATCACATCATCTAGCACTTCTGTTTATCCATGAATCATAGATGAAAACATAGTTTAGCAGACACTCTTATCCAATGTGACTTTAAAGAAGTCCTTAAGTTTTTATGTGAAAACATTACATTCAGTGTAGCATAGCATATTTCTTGATGCATCGTTATAAAAAACCTGATTTGACCTAAACAAAATTCAGCGATCATTTATCTATTTATTTTTATTTTATTATTAATAATATTGTTATGGCTGATAACTGATGTATTAAAATGAACATTATTTTGTAATTAATCTGTTAAAAAAAAAATCCTTAGATATTAGAATTATTTTAGACTGGTTTTGAGTAACAGCTTGACAACAAGACAAACCCCTTAATAACACATCAACCCACGGTTCACAAAAACCACAGCTGGAATTTTACCATCTAACAATCAGGTGAGTTGAAATTTGAGTGTTGTCTGGATCATTATTAACATGTTGTTAGTTATGTTAATTAACCATCATATAGGCCTATTTGGTTTCTATGGTCTGTTCAAACAGGAGGTCTTTTGTAATCTCTAAAAAGGTACAGCTTATTCAACATGTGCAAACAACTGAAATACCTGTGGAGAAAATTTGTTACATGATGAATTAACTGTCTCTTTTTGTCAGATTTGTCAACTTAAATGACAGTTTGAGTAAAATCACCACTATATGTTCCCTTACCACATCCTGTTTTCCTTCATTAGAATCACAGTGCTTACCAGTGATACCCCATCCTTTTTTAATTTGACTTGTTGTGGCTGCCTGCCCACGAAGGCTGTTTTACATTGTCGACCTCTTAAGGATTTTCCAACCTAGCCTAAACTCTGTTCTCTATTCTTTTCTTAATGATCATTTTTAGGCTTCCATCTGGTTGCAAGGAGCTTTTCTGATGTCGCATTGCACTAATCAAACAAATTCAGACAATGATTGGTGCCAAACTCATAACTCAAACACGTTGCTTCTAGCACTTATTGTTCAACTGGCCCTACAATCCATTTCCAGATACAGTCCAACAAAAATGGAGGAAAGGTATAGGAGGAAATCCAAGACCACTAAGATAAAGATTTCAAGGGTATTTTCTCAGTGAGCTTTATTTTGAGCTGTAGGTCTGATCTGTATTTAGTTTTTTTTTTTACCACAAATATCATTTTTATCATTTGATTATGGAAGAGGTGTTTTAATATTTAATAGCTTCATTGTTGTGATTGCATTACAAAGAAATAGTAGCAATTGCATAGCATCAGTACATTAGCAATTCCAGATACATTTTATATATATATATAAAATTGAAAAAATACCTTTTTTGTTTAAAACTTTATTGCATTATTAGGAAATAATAAGGATCTCTTAGTAACACCCAGTAAATAACTAATCTTTGGACTTGGCACATGTTTTGCACACTCTTAACATTACAAGAGGAAAAAAGCAGCCTCATTAACTAAGTCTGTTTAGGTTAACTAACAACTAAACTTCTCAATATAATCCACTGACTTTTTTGCACTCAATACAAAAAGTCTCCCAAGTGTAGCAAAATGCAGTTGGCACATACACATGTTGTGCTATATACAAAAATTCAGCACTGATAAGGTTCCTCTTAAAGGGACAGTTCGCCCAAAAATTAAACTTCAGTCATTATTTACTCTACCTCATGTCATTCCAAAATTGTATGACTCTCCTCCGAAAAAATATATATTTTGAAAAATAATCTCTTTTCAAGTCAATGGGATCCAATGTTGCATTAAACACCCATTGACATTCGCTACAGTATATGAACAAATACAGCTGACCCATTTAAAAAAAAAAATCTTCTTTTGTGTTTCACGGAAGAACAGCTTTGGAATGACATTTTCATTTTTAGATGAACTATCCCTTTAATGCCAACACTAGTGCATTACGTTGGCTGTTTGTGCTTGGTTTCACCACCTGCGCATGAGCTACAACTCTGATCTCAAATTCAAATAAATATACAGTGCCACAAATTGTGGGCTTCCTATACTATGAGGGTAAATAGATTTATGGCTTTGCTTTACAATTTAGCATCATGGCTGTAAAAATAATCTCATTGCAGCTGTTGTTCACAGAGAGTTTGTTTCTCTAAGCTGCAGAGGAATATAGTTGTAGACGGTGGCTGTTTAACTGTCTGTCCAGTGAGGCCCAACACTGCTCAGCCCTGTTTGGAACTGATAGGCTGATTCTCGTGTTGAAGTAGGGCTATGGTTCGGATAGCCTGTGAAATCCCTTTGTGAACGTAATGGCGACCCAGGCTTCCTATGAAAAAGCGAGGAATGTGCTCTGTCACGGGGGGCGGGGCCGGAGGGGGAGGAGGATGCTGAAGATGCCGTCGGTGGCAACACCCGCTGTGTGGTAAACGCGACTAGGTCGGGAGGTGCTGGATGTGGACGCTGCATGGACGATGAGTGGTGGGGAACCGTGGAGGCTGTGCTGTTGAAGTGTGCAGTGAAGGGCTGGTATTGCACAGACTCCACAGTTTGCATGCCGTAGCGAGGATACGGCTGCACTGACGCCCACATATTGCAGTTCAGTGACGGGGCAGGGAGGTCATCGGTACCCACTGCGCCCCCGGCCTCTCCCTCCATTCCTCCATACATGCATGCCTCTCTAGAACCTAAAGCCTCGCTGCAGTATGGATGGGACAGCAGGGGTGGATCGTAGGAAGGAGGGGAGCGGAAGTAGTGCTCCTCAGAAACCGCAGAGGCTGTTGTGTCAAGATAGGGTCGTTTGCATCCCAGTTCCAAATGTCTTGTGTTATCTAGAAGAAAATATCATATTTGAATCCACAAGGTTTGGAAATGCAATAGATTTTGAAAACTGCACTTTAAATATGTTATGCTATGTTAATGTTATGTTATGTTATGTTATGCTATGTTATGCTATGTTATGCTATGTTATGCTATGTTATGCTATGTTATGCTATGCTATGTTATGCTATGTTATGTTATGCTATGTTATGCTATGTTATGCTATGTTATGCTATGCTATGTTATGCTATGTTATGTTATGCTATGCTATGCTGTTATGCTATGCTGTGTTATGTGTTGTGTTATGTGTTGTGTTATGTGTTGTGTTATGTGTTGTGTTATGTGTTGTGTTGTGTGTTGTGTTATGTGTTGTGTTATGTGTTGTGTTATGTGTTGTGTTATGTTATGTGTTGTGTTGAGTGTTGTGTGTTGTGTTGAGTGTTGTGTTGTGTTGTGTGTTATGTGTTGAGTGTTATGTGTTGAGTGTTATGTGTTGAGTGTTATGTGTTGAGTGTTATGTGTTGAGTGTTATGTGTTGAGTGTTATGTGTTGAGTGTTGTGTGTTGAGTGTTGTGTGTTGAGTGTTGTGTGTTGAGTGTTGTGTGTTGAGTGTTGTGTGTTGAGTGTTGTGTGTTGAGTGTTGTGTGTTGAGTGTTGTGTGTTGAGTGTTGAGTGTTGTGTGTTGAGTGTTGAGTGTTGTGTGTTGTGTGTTGTGTGTTGTGTGTTGTGTGTTGTGTGTTGAGTGTTGAGTGTTGAGTGTTGTGTGTTGAGTGTTGTGTGTTGTGTGTTGTGTGTTGAGTGTTGAGTGTTGTGTGTTGTGTGTTGTGTGTTGTGTGTTGTGTGTTGTGTGTTGAGTGTTGAGTGTTGTGTGTTGTGTGTTGAGTGTTGAGTGTTGAGTGTTGAGTGTTGAGTGTTGAGTGTTGAGTGTTGAGTGTTGAGTGTTGAGTGTTGAGTGTTGAGTGTTGAGTGTGTTGAGTGTTGAGTGTTGAGTGTTGAGTGTTGAGTGTTGAGTGTTGAGTGTTGAGTGTTGAGTGTTGAGTGTTGAGTGTTGAGTGTTGAGTGTTGAGTGTTGAGTGTTGAGTGTTGAGTGTTGTGTAATGCATTTAAATACAGCAAATACATTTTGATTTATGATGCCTAAATTCAATTCATGCATTTAAAATTATTGTTTTGAATCATTTTAAATGCTACAAGTGAATTTAGGCATCGTACGGTTTTCATTTTATTTGGATGATTATATCAGTCATCAGTGTTATTAAAATATGAGTGCTTTTAAATGTAAACTTTTAGTGAACGTTAGATGACTGCACAGGTAATCTAAATGTAAACAATACAGGAAATGAGCATAGCTGATATCGATTATATAAAAAAAGGCAGATAGCTATTGACCAATAACCGATATACCAATATTGTGTGTTCTAAGTCAGGATTAACAAGTCTTTGGTAAATAAGGTGGTTGCCACTGCGCTGTACCTCTGTGCTTAAAGCAGTGGTAAAGAAGGCTGGATTCTCTGCTAGATGGGAAGGAGTGAGAGTGAGCTTCCTGGGAATCAGAATTCGGCAGGGGGACGCCACTGTCATACTGATAGTGAGAAACCACCTGTGAGTGGCTACTCAGCACACCTGTCCCCAGTTTTCCTGACAGATGGCCATGTGATGAGATAAGCCGCTGCCGGACCATGTTCTTAGAAATCACAGGGTAATCTTTCCTAGGAAAATGGGCACTTGATCAGTAAGACTACAATCTTTGGTACATTATGCAGCATATTTTAAATGATAATCTTACCCTTGAAGTCTGGACACACGCAAATCGCCCTCGTCGCTGCCACGGAAACCTTTGGCAAAAGGATTGTTCTCAATTTTTAACTGGGTGATCTATGAAGAAACAAACAAGTTAGCAATTGTAGTGTGCTGTACAAATAACTGCATGTGATTGTGAGACTATTGTGTTATGGGCAGGTTCTAATGGTACCTTATGGTTCTGATAGGATGTAACGGAGATGAACGCTGTCTCATGGAAGACATGAGTACAGTAGGCTGTGTTCTTAGAGCCAAAGGCATTGTTCTCATCAGCTTTCACAATGTGCAACCTGGGCTGGTATTTGTGCATTGAGTTCAAGATGATCTGTGAACAGAAATGCAAGCCTACATTAGGATAGATTGAGAAAGAGACATTTTCCATTATTTTGCACATGAAAAAGTAATAATCTCATTAGTAATCATAGGTATTTGCATGTAAAGTTTGGTTCAAGCACATTTCATACATTTGAAATTTACATTATTAACAGACTGACAGCACTTTACGTGTGAACAACTTTAGAGACCTTACGTTGACAGAATATTGAATTAATGGGTTGAATTTGATTTATTTTATTGAGCTCTATAAAATATTAAAATATAGCCATACAAATATATGTGATATACATATTTAGTTTAAAATATTGATAATTGTAATATAATATTTAATATATTTTATTTTGGCAAAAGTTTACATTTAAAAGTTTGGGTTGTAGTATTTTTTTATGTTTTAGAAAAAAGTGTTCTATGCTCACCCAGGCTGCAGCTGCATTATTTGATCAAATCAATTCAAATTCTAGATTCAAAAATTCATTCTAATATGCTGATTTAGTCCTTAAGTAACATTTCTTGTTATTATTATCAATGACAATAAGAATGGTAGTCTATATAGTAAATATATTTATTAGATTCATTATTTCTAAAGCTGTGCATATGTAAAAACCTGTATGAATGATCTGATCAATATTTTCAGAAAATATCCAAATGTACAAAACTACATTGACCATTAATGAAGCTGTTGATGTACAGTATATGTTAGTTAATGTGACCGCATCAATACATATGCCAAGAGGTTTTGTTCTGTTATATGCAAGTATTCCAACTGGATCCTTTGTGTATGTGTGTTTGATCATAGTGTTCTAGCAGCACCAGTCTGCTCAGTGTTTCAATGTTTCTGGTGTTCAGTGAAGCGTTTAGTTAGGGTCATCCCCAACACAGATCTGTCAGGGCCAATGAGCATCAGGGCCTTTCCCTTTGTTATGTCGACTCTCAGACAGAGAGTGAGGCAGCTCCTCGTTGCTGCACTTTTCGGAGAGGAGTTAGGAGCACTAGTGCACAGAGGGCAACCCCAGGTCAATCCCCCCATCACAGACACAGACGGTAGCCTCAGCCAAATGAATGGTTTGTGCGCTTCATTTGGTGAGTGCAGACACATGTGACCTTTGCCTGGTTGGCTGGCTGGCGTCTTGAGGTAATACCATGTGATGCAAACTGCATTGATGATTCAGATACAGGGATGTGTGCTGTCCAAGTATATTAATCAAGCACCTTTGTCAGATCAATGCAGACTCCGAGGCTGCCTTTCATCTTAATGTAAGATCTATTTTTGGGGATTGTGTCATGTGACCTTACAGCTAGATGGCTTTGCATCGAAAAAATTCCTTTGCGTTCAGTCCACAGCAAGTTGCTTATAAATATCTTTGGGTGTTGGGTGTCTGTGCGGTCAGTGGTGTAGCAAAAGAAGTGAAGACATAAATAAATCACAATTTAAAAGTAGCTGTATAGTTGAGTACACTAAAACAGAAGTATTTCAATTTGGTCATGAAAAGAACTGTTTTCTATTTCAATATATTTTAAAAGTATAATTAATTTATAATGTATTCCTGTGATGGCAAAGCTGAATTATCAGCATTACTACAGCCTTCAGTTGCACATGTTCCATCAGAAATCTTTCTATGATCAGAAAATTATATTATCAATTTTGAAAACAAATTTTGCTGCTTAATATTTTTGTGGAAACCTGATACTTTTTTTCAGAATTCATTGACTAATAGAAACAGCTTTTTTAATATACATCTTTTGTGAGATTATAAATCTACATTTACATATAATATAAACATATTAAAATAGTTTTTTTAATCTTACCCCATACTTTTGAAAGGTAGTCTGTCATGGGTTTCACAAAAATATTAAGCAACAAAGTCAAGTCAAGTCAACTTTATTTATATATCGCTTTAATGCAGATCGTATCTAAGCAGATTTACAGTGAAAAACAGGAACATAATGATCAGTGATGAAAACAGAATTCAGTGTTGATTTAGTTTGGTTCAATAACTAAAATTGGTAAATTATGAAATTAATTCATATACAGTATAAAGCAGCTCTGCAGAAAACAGTGATGTCATTATCCAGCTCAGTTCAGTTCTCTTCTCACCCAATAGTGTCAGTGCAGTCAAATCAATAATATTGCTGAAAGCTAAGAACTGTTTATAAACTGTATATATATATGACTTCCTTTATATGTTTATTTAAAAAAAAAAATGGTAACACTTAAGTTTAGGGTCCAATTCTCACTATTAACTAGTTGCTTATTAGCATGCATATTACTAGGATATTGGCTGTTTAACTATTAATAAGCAGTAATTAGGAGTTTATTGAGGCAAAATTCATAATAGTGAGAATTGGACCCTGATCTAAAGTGTGACCAAAAACTTGTATTGGTTGTCAGTCATAACATTAAAAATAATGATCAGCACAATTGTAATATCTGTGTATAAAGCTTCAGTGTATGTTTTGACTGTGGCTTGTGTTGGTGCACTATATGGCTACAGTGGTGGCCTGTGTTGGGGCTCTCAGCCAGCCGTGGTGTCCCTGCTGTTGTGGGCGTCAGTAGAGCTTAGCAACCTCTTTCCCTGCTCATTACTCGCCCTTATCACTTCCTAGGCATTCAACTAATCCTGACAGGCCAACTTTGTGTCGTTCTGACAGGTTATGAACCTAATGAGCTTGTTTCTGATGTTATTGCATCAGACAAGCTAGGTCCACGGGCTCCTTTGGGCAGTGCTGCCATGGTCAGAATCCTCACCTCTGCTCCACTGTTTCTCTTTCTCTTTAGAAAGTAGGAGACTCTCAAGATGACCCTAACCATAGCTCTCACATGAGGTGTATTCATTCTGAACCAAACCGGACCTTGCAAGTCAAATTTAATTTTAAGGAAGTTCACAAACTGAAATTGTGTAAATGTCATTTTTCACAAGAAAATTTTCATTTTAAACTTGTTGGCTTGACAGCCTTGCTTGAATGTTTAAAAAAGTGTTACAGACAGACAGACAGATTTATGGAATTATGTTACGGAAAAACTTTTTTTTTTTTTTTTTTTTGACCATTTTCACAAAGAGTTCATGAATATTTTATTATCTGAACATGCAATATATCAAAAGAAAGAACAGACTCTGCTTTAAAAAAAAAAAAGTTTTAATATAGCTTCGTGAGTTCTTTTTTTTATCAAGACTTGAATATGGGTAAGCAATATTTTGAGCAAAAAGCTGAGAAAATCACGTTTTTGTCAGACTGCATCCAGATTGGATTCAGAATGATGATCAAAACATGCAGTGGATCGAGTCCATCAACACCCCTAATGCTTGCACAGTCCTATAGAACTGAAATGGGTCGACATTTCATTTTAGTAACAGGCAGTTTTGATTTATATACTGTTTAATTTTTACATATGCATATGATTACATATGATATGTTTCCCGAAAACACGGAAAGCCGGAAAATTCCGTCAATGGCGGGGAAGCGTTGTCTCACAAATGAAGGAAATTTCCATCAATGGCGGGGAAAAGAAAAATTTCCAAGAATTGTATTACCTGTTCTTTGAATTGCAATTCAGTAAATCCCACATTCGGTCATTCTAGTTCAACTTCCTGTGGGCTGTGGCTAATTCAGCTTACTTATAACAGAAAGGCTTTTTATGTTCTCAATCAATAGCACAGTATTCATTTTCAGTGAGAATCAGTCTAATGTCTACATTTAAAGTCAGTATGAAATCGTCATTTTTAATTAAATGTCATTACTAAATCTTCTGGTGAAAATAAATATTTCTTTAATTATTTTGTCCACTTAAACGGTAGTGTATACTTTCTTTTGCATTCAGTTCGTGAACCAAGCCCCTGCCCTACTTTTTTTCCCGATAACCTTGTATGTACAATGCAAAAAAAGATGTTTCCACGATTTTAAGCAAAAATTGTGTACCACCTAGTCTACCTTGTAAGTCTCTCTTCTTTGCACACTGCAAATCGCACATTTTAATATCAAACCTCAGATTTTGGACACTCACATGCCCGAAAGGATCAAGGTGGTTGTTTGTGAGCTTCAGCTTTTGGAAGGAGACCAGCTGTCTCATCCAGTGGGCCCCTGTTGCAGGAGAGTCTGGGTGGACGTAGAGTCTTCCAGGCATGGCAGGCTCTGCTTTTCCTGCCACCATCCTATGGAGAAGAACAAGAGCATGTTTTTTTTTGTTTGTTTTTTTGACACGAAAAGGCACTAGCAACATTTGCAAAAGACCTATAGCTTACAGTTGTTGGTTTGGTGGGGTGAATTAGGCTCAGTCCCCCAGAGTTTCTTTTAGTACTACATAGCTTTCCGGCACCTCTGACATCATGCCATAGCGCTTTTAAAAGGAAACCTTTTTTTCAGTGTCACGCAAATTCTATAGGATATAGCAGCAGGCTACAGAAAGGCTTTATGCAGAACATCTGCGCATTAATGATCAGAGCACGAGAGGTTAGGTCCAAAACATTTTGGGAATACTTCCCAAAGACTGGTGGCTGCTTTGACCAAAACATCACTGCTAATTGTGTGCCTTGAAGGTGTCGCTGAAGATCTCCAGAACCGATGCTGGCAAATGGTGGAATTCCAGTCTATCCCACAGATTTTGAAAAATGCTCATAAAATGCTCGGTCTCGTGACAAAACATGCAGTTCATTGAGATGTGCGTGCCATCGTTATTTTGTTTAGTTTTTTTCCATGCTGGATACATGCAGATCTGACTTATTTGTGGTGCCAATGGTTGCATGGGTGAATAGTGCGTATATCTAGTGGCATTGCCAGAGGTGCAGGGTCAAAAAGAGGACAGCATGCATAACCCAGCTGTTTTAAGCCCATTGGTTTTGACAGACTGCCTGCTGTGGCCTACAGTTATTAACTGTGTGCTAATGACAATCCACAGCCAGAACTAGCATTGCATGGATAAACTGATATAGACTGCATATTGTTTGCTTATAAATAATTAATTTGAGTTTCCTTCAGTGTTGGCCTTTGCAAACATGTTTAATTGGATCAATTATCATTTTAAGAAAAATGTTGGAAACAAGGCCAGTGCAGTCTTTTTGTGATGGGATTTAATTATTTACCAACATTATATTCAGTATCGCAAAGTATTAGTAAACTTTTGACAATCATTACTTATAATATAATTATAAAGAATAATACATGTATTTTAATATTAATAACTATAAAATTCCCTTTTAGTGTGTTAAAAAGTGTGTATCTGTACTGTGGGTATGGATTGCGGCATTTGTCCACTCATGTCAACAAATTAAGAAACATAGATTGGAGGAGACAGCAGAATATAAAACATACTCATTTTTGTTTCTTTGCAGTGTAATCTGGATAAGTGTTTGTCCAGATGCCTCAAGCGAACGGTCACTGTTCTGATCCAGTCACTTTTGCTATTGCGTGTTACAGCTGAATTTCCAAAGGCTTAGAGTATCCTTAAACAACTTTCCAGAATCTGTTCCTTCTAATTACACTGTTGCGAGTCAGAAGGAATGTCGTCTTCTGCAGAAACATTAAAGATGGACAGAGGAACGTTAACTCACCACTTGTTGTCACAGAACTTGTACCGATGGTCATCAGCTGGAATGATGTCAGTTAATAGGATGTATTTGGTTTTTGGGTTCATTCCTGTGACTTTAACTTTGTAGCTGGGGAACATCCGCCTAAAGAGAGTGCAAATGATGTCATCAGGGTTTAAAATAGTGCCTTACCATTGAACCACATAGAAAAGCTTCACAGAGCTTCATCGTTGTACATAGTGAGAAATAAATGTATTAATTAGTTTAGTACTTTATTTCATTTTACTAATCATTTTTTATTTATTTTTTATTTTTTATAACGGCAACCAAGTTGTTTTTATTCACGTACTACTGTGCTTTTGTCCCTAAATGCCATTTAGATCTAACTTGAAAACTTGGTGTTAATGCGCTTTTGTGCTCAGAGAGGTCATTCTCTTTCAATCGCATCTACGCAGGCTTATCCCATTTGTGTCATTCAGGTATCTCAATGCCATCTTTATTGCTCACTACAGGAACAGCTTTTTCCTCCGAATGTCTTAGGGCCGGGTTGCGTGTGCAACAGCTGAGCACTGACAGTAAGCATGGATGAGACCGTCTTATCGGCTCTTTCGAGGGTTTTAACAGGCCTTAAGTGCAAGAGAATCACGGGAAGTGTTTGTTTTGGGCGGATGAGTACACGATTAGTGATCAGATAACAGCTTAACCTGTTTTTAGGACAGATTAGTTGTTTAAGAGGCACAAAAGGTCACTTAAATCTCCAAGAAGGCTGCGTGCTCAAGCATCCCCAGACAGCTCTGCAAAACATCTCACTCAAACGGCTCTACCATAAAAGGTTACGCTTCAAAAAAATTCATAAAACCTAAAGCATAAAATGTAACTGTTATCCTCGACAATCCCATATAAGGAGTCATGATCTGTACCTGGTACTGATTTGCTTTGGGGCAGATATATATTTTTAGGGATTGACTCTGTTTTGAAAGAGCCGCTCTATAAAATGTGGGATCTCCATTTTGTTCAGATACAGGAGAAGTTGAGATGACAGACAGAATATGCTAATATAGCAGACGCAGTCATAAAACAAATCAATAGAGCTACCTTGAGTAACCTCTTCACATGAAAAATCCAAAAGTTGCAAAAAGATTGATTCCCCTTATAAACTCTGAGTGCTTTTTTAATGGCAGGTCTTTTAAACAGCGGGCAGCTAAACAGCCTCATTGCACCAGAAAAGTTCCACTGCAGTGCATTACTTTTTGGGGGGGGTGGCTTCCACCAGCAGTCCTACACTTATTACGGCAAATAAATGTGCCCTGAGCTGAATCATGTCATTGCATTTACAAATGCACAACTGCTCAGGCCTGCACTGTGTAAAAAGTTGCCCTGAAAGCACTAGCTCTAATACCCAGAGGAAGAGCTCTATGTCTGGCCCAGGCCTGCAATCCAATCAATGTAAATCACACTGGGCAAGACACTGGTAAAGAGGTGCTTTAAGCCATCAGGAACATCTTAAACAAACCTGTTCACAAGGCTACGCTCTGATGATGATGTCTTTCCCTATTCTTCTGTCAGTAATTAAAAAAATTGACAAAATCTTGTTTCATTTTTGGTTCGACAAAGAACAAGAAGGTTTAATTAGGTAACATTAGTCAATGCCATTACTAACTAACAATGCAATTGTAATGTTTTTATTCTAATTGTATTTTTTAAATCTAGGTTTATTATAAATATGCATAATTAAGTTGCTTATATTTATAAATATGCTATTCAGTTCAACACATTTATTGGTATATGTAGAAATTAACATTAACCTGAATGCTGGAAATCATATATCATAGATCACAGGTAACTAATAATGAACAAAATAATCATTATTATTATCAAACTGTAACTTCTTGCATTAAATTAAACCTACTGTAAAATGTTACCTTAGTATTACATTAAACATCACAAGAGTTCTTGTATGTACTTTTATGTAGGCCAACTGAACATATACATCTAAAATAAATTATTCATGTTAAGAAAATTCAGTTAGGAAAAATTAACCAGTATTTACAGTACTAACAGTGAGGATGTAATAAATCTTGAGTAAAACACATTTACTCAAGACTCACATGTAAACACCTGAGGGATGTGTAATGCTCTTTCCATTTATGCAATACTTTGACATAATGGCTGCCACAGTAGATCACATTGCACATGTCTAAAGGGGTCTTACAGTGGCTCTGTAACTGTATTCTGTTGCTGTATGTAGTCATGTTGGAGCGCTGTCCTTGGCATGGGAACAGCTGTGTGCACCATTTACTTTACTGTATAAACGGCGTCTTGTTGCTTGAAGGGATAGATCACCCAAAAATGTCAATTCTGTCATAATTTAATCACCCTCATGTCCTTGCATATGACTTTCTTCTGTGGAGCAAAAAAAGAAGATATTTTATGAAAAATGTTGCTTTTTCATTGGGGTCCAATGTTGTTTCTTCCAAATATCTTTGTGTGTGTGTTCCGCAGAAGAAAGTCATACAGGCTTGGAATGATATGAGCGTGAATAAATGATGACAATTGTATATAATTTTTTTGGTATATATTACGTCAAGTTTTAGATATCCTGACAATATCTATGGGAGTGAAATTTATTTCAAGTGATATAGTTAGTTTTTTTTTAGTTATCTTAGTAAAAGCACTGTTTATGGGTGGGCCTGCGCTTCAGTGTATATGTGTAAGGACGACAGTGAGAAATGGCAAGTATGAAAGTGTATCATATCGGTGTCAGCATGTGCATTATGGCAGCTGTTTCTTTTAGCGTTCTTGCGCGCCTGCTCTTTCAGTGATTCATGCTATCTGAAGAGCGCCTAGATCAAAAGAAGCTAGATGATAAAGCAAGAGGGGTCCTTTAGGGCCTGGGAGATGCGATTGAACAGAGCACCATGCTTCACTCATCAGCCTCGCTGATGCTTACTCTGACGGGCTGTGTACAAGTAACACCAGCCGGCAGCTTTCAATAGTCATGTTTAGTGCTTAGTACAGGGCCACAGATGTGCACAATAACAAGATGAGTTGTTGTAGCAGAGTTCAGCTCAGTTTCACCTCTATTTTTTCCTCGGAGAGATATTTTGGGTTCAATACAAGTCAAGCTCAGTCGACAGCATTTGTAGCATAATGTTGATTACCATAAAAAAAAAGTGGCTTGTAAAATTTGACTTGCAAAAATCTAGGTTACGATGAATCACTTACCTTGGAAGTACATGAGTCCAATTTATGAAAGGATTTAAAAGCAGAAATATCAAGTTTGTCATTTTATTGATGTGCGTAAATCTGTTTTTTGAGCTGTAAATCACTTTTAAAAGATTTTAGGGTTAGAGTTGGATATAACTTTACACAGAAAAGGTTAGCATTTTTTTTAAACTAAATTTATGTTAACACACATTGTGTTTATGTTGAGTGGCTAAACTATTGAAACTGAGCATTTTAATGTTTACATATTGCGCCACATTTACTTTCACACTAAGTGCATCCCTGTAACCTAGATTATGGCTTTTTTTAAAAGAAGGGGATTCATTTTCATAGTAATCATCATCATGCCACAAATGCGATTGTTGATTGTGCTTAAATTGTACTGAAGCAAGACTATTTCTTTAACACTATGTATGACCCACTTTCTCTGCATCGCAAGTAGAGATAGTCGTATGACAGGGGGATTGTTTTTCAATGTTCATTCTAAATTCAATCTCTTTTTGATTACAAAAACTGCTATAGTCTTCAGGTGTGACATACATTTTTTTCAATGATATTATTCTTTGGATTTTCGACTTATTTGTGCAATTCACAGAAGCAAAATACTGTCATATGCAATTTTTGTTACTATTGTAGACCCAATGAATTGTATATAAGAGTGCATTCTTCTTTAGCGTAAACCTATACTGTCAAACTGCATTTACCGTGCAGACATGGCTGAAGCCTGCTATGTAACACAAGACTACGTTGAGAATCATTGCATGAAATTGGCCCCAATTTTGTGTAATGGGACCCATCGTGAAGAAACCTGGTGAGTTTTCTCAAGATTTACAATTCAGTGAATGGCTGTCTAATATCCTACAAGTCATATCCCCCCACTAAAATAAAATGAAACGGTTAAAAGCTCTTCCTACTTCATGGCTCGATTGACATATTGACATATCTTTAACAGAGCCTGGTGTCCATTATACACTAAAGTATGTAAAATGAAATGAGCCCATCTGTTGTTGGAACTATGTGGAAGTACAGTCTCCTGTTCTGTGCACAGCTGTCTGACTGAACAGTGCTTTGCTCTTCAAAGGGTTTAAGGATTCTCGGAGCACTTTATCAGTTGGACAGGGGGAAGCCCATCCCTCACAATGTTACAGCATTAAAGAAAAATTGTGGTGACCTTTTGCATTTTCCACAGAGAAGCGCTGAGAAACTGCTGGCTAAGACTGGCAGAGAGCATTGACTCATTCTCTGCTTAATATCCAGGGTCCTGCTCTTAATCCACAGGGCACATTAAATCTAACACACGGGGCAGCCGTTTGTGTTTTCAATTAGATATTTGTAGGCACAGGAATTCAGCCTTGCTTTCCCTTGGTCACATAATATTTTATAAATATTCTATTAAAAGCACTTCATCTTTTCATTCGACTGAGCCTCTTGGTAAAAGAAGGTTTCACATTTGCATTTCTTACTAGAAGCGAGATGGCCTAGTTATGTTTTCGTTTCCCTATTGCAAAACCACTTTTCTCTCTCTCTCTCTGTGTGTGTGTGTGTGTGTTAAAGTCTAAAATCGGGTGGATGGAAATGCCGCTCTCTTCTTGCCTGCCTGCTTTGGTGATGATCATCTCAGTTCCGGCCTCGTGGAACTTCTTCCATAGTTCCCTGTCGTGAAGAACCACTTTGATGTTTTCGATGTTCTGAAAGTACAGGCACAAAAAAAAGATAAATGATAATGAGTCATTTTTTAATGAAAAAATGGCTATTAATATTGCTCAAATGAAAAGAGAAAAATATGAAATTCACAATAAACTACTATAATTTATTTTATCTTGCTTTATCATTAAATCTTTGTTATGTTACATTACATCTCATCGCAGAGGTAAAATCTACAAGTCACTCAGGACTCTAAGGATTAAAAGGATCCAAGTGATTGGCTACCTTGTCAGGCTCATTGTTCTGGGGAATGCTGGGAGTTGTAGGCAGGCCCAAATGTGAGGAATCACTGGCAAGCTCAGGACGCCCACCCAACTGGGCCACGGTCATACCTTCATCAGCCACAGCTGAGGCCTTCTCCTGTAGCATTTCTGTAAAATCACAGAAATATTACTTTAATGATGACTACGCAATGTAACTTTCAGAATAGGACAAATTATTTTAGATTATATCGAATTATAACCAGGGGTTTTCCACTTTTTTGAAAAAGAAATCATAGAAAATGAAAAATAGAAAACCATAAAATATACTTTGAGATTATGATGCTAAGAAAATAATAAACTATATATTTTTTTAGTGTCTTAAAAAATTAGAAAACGAGCTAACGGAAAAAAACTAACTTCATGCCGTGTTTTTAACACAAGCTAAAAACCTAATGATATATGTATAATGAAAATACCACAGATGCCATAGTTCCTCTTTGTTCTCTCATAGCCTGCTCTAATTGATTATACACAGAGAGAGACAAGACATGGGCTGCAAAATTTGAGAAATAACGTACATTAACATTTACATTTCGTGAGGGAAAGTCTGTATAACATGGCCTGGCCAATTCATTTCAAGGAAAAGGGTCGAGATCCGTTTGTTCTGAAGTATCGCAAGATTAAATATTTACACTTCCAGCATTCGGGCACCTCGGTTTTATGGAAGCGTGCTAAACACTGCTGATTCCATTAAGAGAGGTCACAAACTTAGGCCCGCTCTCACGCCCCTTCTCTGCTCACGCTCAGACATCACACCAAAGGTATGTCTCATTACTGTAGTACAACACACTGCCTCCAGAATGCTGCCTATCTGCACGGCGGACACCAAACCGCTCTCATGGTGAAAGCCACCTCCTCCCACCCGCTCCTAATCTCACGCATGTAAACAATGTGAGTGTGCGCCCTTCAGATAAAAGGAGAAGAGCGGGATTCCGTGTAAACTCGGGCAGGCATTTGCCAAAGCTAATAAAGATAAAGTCTGACAGGCACAGTGAGGCTACAGCAAGTCAACCCTGGACTTTTCCAGTCCAAAATGTGCCTTTCACTTACACTGTTTAACTAAGCCCAGTGAGCGAGAGATCTGTTTACATCTCTGTCACCCCAGACATATAATCCGCTAAACTATTCCTGGCAGATACTGCTGTGTGCACACTGGGGTTTGCTGGCTATTTCCAGTGTGTTGTCCAAAATGTTTGACACCAACCAAATTTTGACTTATCGCTTCTTATCAAATTTTTAAAAAGTAATAATAATACAATTGTTTGAGGATGGACTGCACTATTTGGCCATGATTTTGTGGTCAGAATTTACCCATTCATTGAAATACTTTTTTGGAAACCTGGAATAATATCGTGCCTGGTAGGGGGAGGGTGGTGAATACCGTTTTGATGCAGGTTATAATAGCGGCCCAGTATGATTTGATCTTCCATTTTGTTCTGTACCAGAGTGGATACAATGCGTGTTAGAGAATAGGCCTGTTCACTTCAAACACAGCATGTTTTCCTTCCTACGAATGGTGATATTCTGCTATATTTCTTCAATGATACTTTGCAACACATTAGGTTTAGTAAAGTACACTTGAACCATTTTGGCTGTAGGGTTCTTATGTAATATGATTCTTTGGAGATTACGAATCACTTTGATGTTTCATTATTGGTTCCTACGATTTGTACATTGATTTCTGAGTTCTTTAAAGCACCTGTAGATGGTTTTCTAAAGCCAAAATTGTTTTGGGACTTAAAAAGGCATCAGACCATTGTATTCTAATTATAACTTTTTTTTTTTTTGCATTTGTGGGCTGTTATCCCATGACTGCTTGAATATTGTCATATTGTTATTTTGACAAACATGGTGAGAAAATGAAAAATGCTGGAAATGTGCTTGCCCCCTTCAGGTGTCCTTTAACCATTTGAATTAAATAGGATTTGACAGCTGAACAACAACAAAAATAAAAACAATAAAAGATTAAGAATTGGGTTCATTTCTAACACAAATTATTCTGTTGAATATATATACTGTAGTTTACTTTTCTAAAAGGTGTAAGATAATAGTATAATTCTTGCTATCTGTCAATGTAATCATTTTATTTTAGATGTGCTTCGCATTTTCGTTGTGATATAAAAGAGTGCAACTAATGGTACATTTGTTATTAATCATAAATATTATTATGTATATAGGCCCTATTGAATAAACCAGTCTGTGTTATAATAGGCCTACCTGTTTTTCTTGGTTTGATTAATTTTGATTTTCTTGATATGATTTAATTAATTGATTAAGTCCCAGCCCCCAAAAAACCCTAAAAGTACATTTCACCGGCTTAAAATTAAATTATTTAAACATAATTGTTTTGATTTGTTTTTAAATAAAATTTCTGTAGTTTAAATACTGTATGATAGGTATATGTGTGAATATTTTTGTTCTTTTGCATTTGTCACGCTTTGTCACGCTTTTCCGATTATCAAAATATATATATATACATTTTATTTTGCATATAAATTAAATATTAAGAAATCTGTCATTTTATTGTTTACCAAGAACTATCGCCAGCCGAATGAATTAAGCTGCTGCTTAAAGGCCTTTAGGTCTACTCCATTCATTGCGGAAAAAGGATAGATCAGGGATTGACACGAACAAGATCAAAAGTACCTGCATCATCAGATGTTCAAATTTGTGCTCCCAACAATTCATTGAAAATATTAAGCAAGCACGCACATACAGGCCGCAGTGCTTTCTTTTGAGATAAACCACATTCACACGCAGTAGCAAAAGCATCCTACATTTATAAGCAAATTTATAAGCAGTACATACAAGTATAGTGCAAATAAATGGTCTTTTAAGCGACATAATAATAGAATAAAAAGGCTACACAGTTTACATAGGCACTTCAGATTGTTTACATCACAAGCTAAGACTATGTTCAGATATTCTTAAAGAAAATTCCTATAGCCTGGGTTTTATTTATGAAGGACTGACGCCTTCTCGTTGATCACTTAATTTGAGAAAGAAGGATAGATTAACTACGTCTAATCGCATTACCGACCTCCATGCACATATAAGAGAAGGTTCATTTCGCCACACGGATATCAGAGTAGCGTGAAATGACCTAGTGAGAACAAATGTAATGTTACCTCATAAAATATTATGTTCTGAAATCCTCCATATCATTCCAACCTGCAATAATCTGTCCACTGCGACATTACAGCAGGAAGCTATAGGTCCCGGTGTGGCGTTGAGTCCAGTGCACTAGTATCTGTTCAGCATCCCCTGTATCTGATCGTGAGCAGACTGAGCTGTCTCTTCTCTCTTCCCCAGAGTCTGCTCCTGTTCAAATAGCGCCGCGAGCCGAGTGCTAACACCGGCGAGTGCTCGTCTCAGAGGCAAATGGTCACTACGTGATGTTTTCTTGGAAACACCGACTATCCACAGGACAGCTTGAATTGTTAAAACACTGGGGTGAATATCTTGGCTCATTCACTCATTCCCTCCTTCCCCCCGCGCCTCATCGCTGACGTTGCTCTCAATAACACCAAACCCCAAACAACCCTATGAGCAGGGTTGACTCAAACCAACGGTCCTCTCACGAGGAAAGCAAGTCTTCTCATCGTAAAACATGACTGGAAGACTCGTCTCCTCATTCTCTCCCCCACAGCAATAGTTTAACATGCAGGTAGCCTATTTAAAATAGCAACCTCAAGGATGAGGACAAAAAAAGAATAGCCTCATTAAGAACATTTGAAATATTGTAATTTTCTCTATATTAGGGAAATTAAGTTTCCTGTCCTCTGTGATGATTTTTTTTTTTTTTTTAATGTTTTAAATTGTTTTTGTTTTGTTTTGTATAGTTTTTTGTTTGTTTTTGTTTTTATGTTGCGCGCTAATTTTTTATTTTGGGCTAGTTCTCCACCCAGACTTGCCCCTTATAAAAAAAAAAGATATTTAAATTATGGAAATTTAACTTTGCTTCCCCAAAAGAACTTAAAAATCATATTTTAAGTCGTTCGGAATTTACGTGAATAATTAATGTAGCCTATATTGGTCTGCTTTTAGTGTAGAACTGCTGTCATTGCCATCACGCCATTTTAGACAACAATCGAGGTTTTTTTTTTTCATATCTAATTTCCATTTGCCTTTATTGGAAATTAGAAATACAGAGTAAAACATCTCAGACAGCAAAGTGACAGCTGAAGAAGACTGAAGATCATAGGCTAAATATAATTAATTTTAATATTCTTACATCATGATCTGAGAGAAGCTTTACCAATTCCTTTTACCAGTCATTATTAAAGACCATCATTATTATTATTTTATTCAGAAATAATGTTTTCTATTTCATAGTTTTTTTTACTTTTATATCTTGATGTAGGCTATTAGCAATTCCAAGACATTTTCTCCAAAAAAATTATCATCATCACATCACACACTATGCTGAAAGATTCACCGCATCACACATTATAGATGCACCTGAAGGCTGATCAAGCCTGTAATCAGATATTTATTCAATGATGTGATAAATGTAACAGAGATGAAACATTGTTTGAATGAACACCACGATCATTAGCCTCTCAAGATTTCAAGTTAGCCGAAAGTGCTTCTAATTAAACAATCACCCATTTATGCTCAGGCAAAAACAGGCTGAACGTTAGCCATGTCTTTAACATAATGTAATTTTGTCTGGCTTTATATGTCATGAGCTTTCTATCAATTTCACAGTTTAACATTGTTCCATTTTTTAGCATTTGTTCCGCTTATATGGCTCGCATGTTCGAATTTGAAATCTGCTGAGAATTTCGTTTAAACATTTCCAGTGAAATATGGTTGCGGTTTTAGAGTAAATGGGTCGAAGCACGAGGCTGAAAGATCAATAAATCACCTGGAGAAGTTCGAGGGCCGTGGGAGCCTTGACTTATATCTACTGGTGACATGTCCAAATGAATGGCAACAGCCAGAATATGTCCTTCTCAGACCCGTTTGTCATTCTCGCCAGTGTAATTTTCCAAACAGGTCATGCTATCAATGAGAATAAACGCAGGAATAAGGAAAGACGGTTTTAGGAGACAGGCCTCAGTCATGGGTGTATGATATCGGCTAGGTTTGTTTGTTTTAGCCTCAGTGGCTACAGTGATAGCATTTCGGGACCACACAGGCCTATTTTATATATTCTTTCGTCTCTAGGCTATAGGCTAGATCTGGACACACGTGTTTGGTTTATTTTAAAAGTTAATATGTAGGCTAGTCCATCCTCCTGAATTTCGCCAAAAAATGTTGACACAATGTGTGATTAAATATAGGCTATATTTGTTGGATTAATTAAATAAATAATGTAACCTGGTCCTTATAAAAAGTGTTCTGTAGTTCGTTCAAGCTTTTAGGTGTTGCTAATCCTTCAAAACAAACATAGCCTACTATAATATTTAATATACAGAAATATTAATAATAACACTAATAATAATCATAATAGAACATCTATAATGTAGGTAGCCTATATTTAGCCTACATTCTATTGAATATATTGTCGGTATTTATTTTCACATGTTTTTCACTGTAGGCTGTCTCTTCGCTGTTTGCTGTCAAATAATGAGGATCATCTTTCCATAAAATACTGCTGTAAATATAATCTCTGTCTGATCAAACAAATAGGCAATGTATCCGCAACAAGTGTAGTTTAATTAATGTGGGCTATAGCCTACTTCACGTTTGCTAAATGTCAAAATGTTCACGTGAAGGCCCATCTGTTTTATTTGATGCATCAGACTCTAAGTCGTCAAACAATAGGCTACTCTATAGACAATATAGGCCTATATATTGAAATCGAATATAACCTAGCCCTAGGCTATACCGTTAAAAAGGCGTTACGTTTATTTGACAGAAACATTAGGCTAAATAAGGCCTAGATGCGCACGTCATTAGGTAATCTCATAAAAAATAATTCTTGAATTTTTTCGTAAAGGTGCTAATCTAATTACTCCATTGTTACCGACAAATTGTCATAGATTAGAGCGAAAATAAATAGCTTAAAGTTTGTCATATTTCACAACTAAATAAAGCCGGCGTATCCCTTCAGGCTGGAAGCAGAAAATGTTCTCGTGAGGAATAATAATTTTAGGCAGGAATTATTTGCTGAAAGCTCCATGTATTACCGTTATCACACACCACACGTGATTGAAAATAATTGGTCTTACCTCCACCTCACTGATCTTGACGCACTTTCTGTGTGTGTGAACCGCTCAAGATGCGCGCTTTCTTGGGGATCCTCAAGTAGGCAAGTTATACCTTAGCGTGCTATATAAGATGTCGCTATAAAAGGGATGATTTTTTATAGGGGATGAATTGAGCTGCCTCTCTGAAAGGGAATTTAAACTTCACTCACTCCCACCGTCACGTGGTCTTGAAATTAGGAACAGCAGTAGGGTTAGTTTATGTACTGAGGGCAGGGTGTTACCGACTGGACAGACACTGAGCGATGCTCTCAAAACTTACACGTTACAGTTGATGCCTCTCCGCCAGACCTTTAGTTTTTCCTTCACTCTGCCTCACGGTAAATGTTGGCCGTTAACAACATCTGTTTCGGATGGGGAAAAATAGAAATAGATAGGCTACTATAAAAATAGTCCTCTCATTCAATAATTAATACGAATGTGATGATCATTCAAAATTCACGTTTAAACCTTGAGAAAACTGAATATATCGATGTCGTTGTACAATGTTTTGCGTTCTTCCTCTGGGCTAGATACAGTCTTAAATGACATGTTTAATCGAATTTTGCATCAAAGTTGCATATTCACCATAGAGGAAAAAACAACTGTAAAATTGCACATCTTGTATGACTAATTCATTTAAGATTTAAACGGGCAAAATTATGAATAGCCTATAGCCATATAGGCCTACCTTGATTTTCTATTTTCTCAGAGAGCCTTTTCTATACTGTCATTTAGAAGGAGAGAAGAGAAGTGTTATTATTATGATTCTTTTTGATTTATAGCCTGTTCTCAGTCCTGATAAACATTTTTAAATTGTAATTATTATTGTAAACATTTATAATATATTACATGTATATTATTAATAATAGTTATATTTAGGCCTAAGTTAAATAAGTTATATTTACACATTACTTTTTTGGTAAAAATGTTAATATTGTAAATAATAAATTACGTAATTTATTGTATCGAACTTTTTTATAATTAGTTTACATTACATTATAAAATAGTTTTACTGCAGTCTTTCTAAGAAAGAAATCTATCTTTTTTTTATTTGATTTTTTCCCCATTGCCATTCTTGGTTTCTTACAATAAAATTGCTTGACTAAAGGTTTTTACATCAGATTTTAGTAATACTGCTGGATTTCTGTCAGTTGAATGAGAATCCTCATGGAAGCATCCGTGAGTGATTAATGGGTATGGGAGTGCAGGCTCTTTTTCCTTAGAAAAACATTTGCCTGTATAATTGGTCATGGGCAAGAGGGGTCTGTGCTAATAAACAACAAAGAGTAAAGAGGCTAGTGGAGGGGGAGGGGGGGGGGGGCTTTGATTCAACAGAGTCGTCCTACATTTCTCTATCCCTTTTTCCCTTCTCTCATACCTGAAATCTTCATTCAATACTGTGCATTATGGTATTATGTCTGCGTATCCTGCACAGATCCAGTCTTTTCACACTGGTTTATACTGTGGTAACACGGTGCCCAGTATCGTGTCTTTGGCATGAAATTATCGGGTGAGGATGCTCTCATCTCTTCTCAGCTTGCTGTATTTCTCAGAAGGGCATTATGTGCAGTTGGCTCTACACTAGGACATTGTCTGCACCCGGCGGCAGATAGTCAGTACAGAGCAGTGACATCACAATGGCTTCATAGTAAAACCTCGGACCGACCCGCCACCCTGGAACCAGCATAACCCCATACTGCCACAGTCATTAGCTCAGATGTCTGTGTGCAGTCAGAGTGTTTAGCGCGCATGCTGTGTCTTTTCTTCCACCATTAGCCCTCTTCCCATAAGCACCCTTCCTGTGTGTGGAGCAGTGAAAGCTTGGGAAGATTTTCACAGTACAGCAAGCTGGCTTTCTTTTGAAAGAAATTGTTTTATTGTATGTTTAGATTAAGCAACTATATTTTAAAAAAAGCACTTTTCTTAAATCGAGTCATTTAACTGGCTAGTTCCCATTTTATTACAATTGTCGTCACCTTTATTTATTAAGCGCTTTATACAATACAGATTGAGCTGAAGTCGGTTCAGTGTTACTTCAGTTCCGTTGTAAAGATCATCAATTATTGAATTAGTTCATTTCATCTATAAAGCAGTTCTACAAAAAAATGATGTCATTGTCCAGCTCAGTTAGTTGTCAGTTCTCATACAACAGTGTCAGTACAGGCAGATCAATAATATTGTTGAATATTAAGTGTCCCCATCTAAGCAAGCCGAAGGTGACAGTGGCAAGAAACCCAAACTCCATCAGTTCTCCTCTGGCCAACAAATGAACACGGTGTCATCATGATTCAGGCTGCATCACAAGTCAGAATTC